AGGCAGGAAAAGGACGCGCAGCGAGGAGCGAGCCGAGTAAGGAGGAACGGGGAGGAGTGACTACGACGCGGGGGAGCGAGGGAGCGAGCGCAGGCAGGCGAGGAGCGAAAGAGATGATAGAGGGATCGAGATGATAAGAGGCGAGCGAGGCAGAAGGGAGGCAGGAAGGAGAGAGATCGATAGAGGGCAGGAGAGGGAGGAGGACGGGAGGAGATAAAGGGCGGGAGGAGGGAGGAGGAAGCCGAGATGATAGAGGGAGGACCAGAGGAGGAGGAGGACAGCGAACTGATAGAGGGAGCGAGAGAGCGCGCCAGGAGATGATAGCAGGGAGCGAGGCAGCGGAGAGCGCGCAGGCAGGGGAGATGCATAGAGGGAGCGAGGCGAGGAGGGCAGCGCAGCATGTAGAGGGAGAGAAGGGAAGGGAGATGATAGAGGGCAGGAAAAGGAGGAGCGGAGGAGGAGGAGGAGGAGGAGGAAGGAGATGATAAGGGGGGAGGCAGGTGAGGAGGAGGGAGGAGGAAAGAGGATGATAGAGGGCAGGAGATGATTAGCAGGGAGCGAGGAGTCAAGGCGAGGAGGAGGAGGCAGATGATAGAAGGGAGGAGGAGCGGAGCGAGGAAAGCGCAGATGAAGAGGGGCAGAGACGCGGAGGAGGAAGGAGATGATAGACGGAGAGCGGGAGGAGGAGAAGGAGAGATAGAGGCGATGAGAGGGATCGAGCATGATAGAGGAGGAGCCGACGGAGGAGGGCAGGACGGGAGGATGACTAGAGGGAGCGAGAGGAGGCGAGGAGATGATAGAGGAGGAGAAGGCGACGGCAAGATGAGAGCAGGCACGGAAAGCGAGAGGGAGCGCAGGAGGTCAGAAGCCGGAGGGACAGGAGAGATGATAGAGCGCGAGGAGGAGCCGCAGATGACGGAGGAGATGCACTCACTTGCCTCATTGCTCATTGACCCCTCTCGCCTCCCCCCTCCCTACTCATCTCACTTGTTCGCCTTCTCCCTCTCTCCCCTCTCATCTCCACTTGCTTCGCCTCTCCTCTCTCTCCTACTTCATCCTCTCTTCTCGCCTTCTCCCTCCTCCCCTCTCATCTCTCTTCTTCGCTGCTCCCTCTCTCCCCTCTCTCTTCTTGCGCCTTCTCCCTCTCTCCCCTCCGCATCCTGCTCTTGCTTCGCCTTTGCCTCGCCTCGCCACCCTCTCCTCTTTCTTCTTTATCTCTCTCATTGCATCTGAGCAGAGGCGAGGAGGAGGAGATGATAGAGGCGAGATGATAGAGCGAGGAGAGGAAGCGACGAAGGCAGGCGAGGAGATGCAATAGCAGGCGGGCAGGACAGGCCGAAGGAGGGAGGAGGGAGGACGATCGATAGAGGGCAGGCAGGATAGATGATAGAGCGGAGGAGAGGCCAGGAGGAGGAGAAGGAGGGAGGAGGAGGGAGGAGGGAAGGGAGAGCGAGGACGCGCAGATGCCATAGCAGGAGGAGCGGAGGAGGCCAGGAGACAGATGAGAGAGGGACGGCAGGGAGGAAGGAGGAGAAGAAGGAGGCAGGGCAGCGAGCGGAGGAGATGATAGAGGGCAGGAGGAGATGATAAGAGGGAGGAGAGGCGAGCGAGGAGGCAGAAGCGAGGCAGGAGGAAAGGCGAGGCAGGAGCGGAGACGAGCAGGGGGGCGGATGAGATGACTAGAGGGAGGCACGCCGAGGAGGAGCGAGAAGAAGGGAGGGAGGCCCAGCAAGGAACGGGAACAATACAAAAGTTACTAACCTTATTCCAGCCAGGTTGCCGAGCGAGCCAGCACCTCCTCGAGCAGTCAGTACGCAGCAGCGCTCAGTCGAGGAGGCAGTCGAGGAGCTGCCGAGGAGCCAGCAGGATCCGTGCAGCGCTTCAGGTGTTCGAATTCTGTTCGACTTATCGGCCCTCCAGTCGCCGAGGACGCCCTTCGACAGATCCCCCTTACTTACAAGATCAGCATTGTTGTGCTCTACACGTGTAGTACTGAAAATATGTCATGATGTAGCATATAATCAATAACATGATACATTTGCTATCCATCATCTCTGCCTGAATATGACTGGTATATGGGTCAATAACAACAGCCATTATCACACTTAAATCACTCAAGTCTCCCGCCTCTACCTACGACGGCCCACAGCATTTCACATTAGCACTGCACGCATTTGTTACACGCATATATACAGCGCACAAACACGCGACACGCAGGGTTTAAAATTGCTAACATCTATATTAATTAATACGTAGAATATACAATTATAATTATAAGCTGATTTAAAAACCCAAAAAAATTTCCGGCCAACCACACCGAGACACGCCCATCCTCTAGCACCCTGCTCCGTCTCGGGGGCTTTTACAAAAGACCCGTGGCAGGCAGCCCGCGGTTCGCACGGCGGCATTTCGCTATCCAAACCGAGCCAGCCGAGGCAAGCGGCGACGATTCTAACCTTGGATGCCGCCGCTTACAACAAACACGCCCACCACCCGACGCGGGTGACCGGGCAACGCAACGAAGTATTCCCGTATTCCCGTATTCTTTTGTTTCCCGTATTCCCGTATTCTTTTGTATTATTGTCTCCTGTTTTCAAAGTCATACATATGGACTTTGATCTGGACATATGATCTGGTATTTAAAAAATTCAATCTACTTTTCAATTTTAATAGGTCAATGGGTCTCTGTGAAATATTTAGCTATGCATGTCATTATTTCTCTTTTCTCCTCCCCTCTCTCTCTCATTCTGCTACTCATCAATTTTGCCATCATGAGTAATTTTGCGCTCACATGCCACTTGCTACATAGTACTCCTTATCCTTGCCCCACACCCTGTTAATCACCTTACAAATTTAATCCAAAAGATGAGGAAGAAGCTGTGTTAATGCCATTGGATGGTGGCGCCCCCAGGAAAACGAGCGTTACATTTTAAAGCGATTTCGGAGTTTCGCATTTATGCACCATCTAGCGGATAACTATATACCTCCTCATGACTATACTTTCCCTGTGTAAAATTTAATATTTCAAATATTTGCTTGCTAGAGTTCGCCACGGCCATATCCGCCGCACATCTTAATGTCGTCGTGACTTCGTAAAGCATTTAGGCCGGTCACCAATGGGGAACACTACACGAGAAAATAATATAACAATTAGGCTCTATATTATACCAATTAGTTGGTCTCAATAAAAAGTGCGATTAACTGATAGGGGGACATAATAAAATATTTGTCCACCAGGTGTCGACACTGACCTGCGCGCAGCAATTCTTGTAGTTGAAAATACAGCAACAGCAAGTACACGAACACATATGTAGCACCGTGTGTGTGATAGGTCCTCATTACAAGCTACATACACTTCACAACTACACACGCACGCACACACTCCACTCGTAACTTTCCTTGCTATGCGACAGAGCATCGATTCTAAGAAAAGCCTGATTGATCGTCATAGCAAACAGCAAACCCTTCAAAACAACACGCACGCACGCACAACAACACGCACACACACACATGCTCCACACCTCACCTAACCCGTGACGCGACAGGTCGCTCGTAACTTCACTTCGCGGTATCGCGACGAAAACTCTCATGATGACAGGAACGCTCTTCGATTCGTATTTAACATGAAGCTTGATTTATTTGTACAACATTGCATTATAAAAATACACGGACGACACGGAGGGCGGCGAATCGCTCAATCTAACAGAACACCGGATAACGACGTCTATAAACGACGTAAATCGACAATCAGACGAGTCGAACACCAGCGGGTGTCGCCGGCGCGGCGTACAGCGCCATCTACTAGTCATAGCACGACGTAGAGCGACAACTAGCTCGATTTTTCCCAGTTTTTTTTTCTCTCTCGGTGACACAAACCCGACTTCACACGAAAACGGCCGTGGCCACAACCCCTCATGTTCACACAGATATTTTCCCAATTGTCTGGCGTACATTTTTCTCTGGTTTGTCGAGCATTTCCCCCGCCACGAATACGTGAACGACACAGCGTCGTCATACAAAGCACGCGCCCCCGTCGAGCACGGCTCGCCTTAAACGATTCAACCTCGCGAAAACCCAACCACCAGGTGTCTCTCGCACGAGTCGCGTCGACCGTGCACGCGCGACCGTGCTGCCGCCTACGCGCGGCATTTACAATCGCGCCCGCCTCTCGCTATGTACACCGTGCGCGTGCGTCCGCGACTCGCAGCGCCACCTGGCGGAGCGCCGCCAAGCTAACGACGAAAATAAATTAAACTAAGACGCGGCACGGATGCGGGCCGACCGCTCGTCGCCCCGGAATGCTCCGTTGGCGAGCGAGTCGGAAAGCATCCGCGGGTGTGGCCACCGATCAATAGTAAATAATCAATGATCAATAACCAATCACGAGTTCAACTAGCACATTATCACCGATAGCCTAATACACACTAAGGATAGTGGGGCGTGTATATATATATATATATATATATATATACGCTAACATATTCACATATATAATTCTACGTGCGCACACATATATATTACCCGACAATTATTAACGCCTCTCTTACAAAAACCACCGGCTAGGTGGCGTGGCGATGACGTAGCTAGTATCACCACGATTACTCACACCAACAGATGTGTGTGTGGACATTTGGACCTGTGTTACTAACAGATGTGTGTGGACATTTGGAGGGAAGGAGTGGACCTGCGTTGCTAACAGACCTTGGGAATATTTTTAAAGTGATTACGTCACCGTAAATAATAAAAAAATAAATAAAAAATCCACTTTTCCACAAAATACAAGTGATTCTGTTCACTTTTTATGGTTAAATTGCTGCATTATACTTCCTATTTTACTATATTGTTCGATGTGAACATACACTCGTGACTCATACATAACCCATAGCAAGCAATTAATATTATGAACACTAATATCAAATCGTCCAGGTTTTTTGGATTTTTAGCTAGTTGAGAAACAATCTTATCAGGTAAGAATTTGACGATACGTTTAGTCCCGTTAGTTCTTACTTTTAATGGAAAAAAATGGCAACAAAAATTTTACAAATTTTACCATCGAAAATTCGTGACGTAGTCACCTTAAGGCAAGACTTAGAGTGGAGCTGGGTTGCTCGGCCTGAACCGTGTGCCTGTGTAAATGAATGGAGGCTACCTGGTTTATCAGGTACAGGCGTGGCTGGATGGAGGCGGGTGGTTGCTCCACATCAGAGGTACGGACAGTGGGCGGGGCAGGAGGGTGGAGGGAGGAGGGGAGTAGGAGGGTGGAGGGGGCAAGAGGGAAGAAGAGGGCAAGATGACGACGGCTCCACTGCGGTGGCACCGGCTCTCCAGCCGCGTCGCCACACGACATGCCTGGCTTCGACCATCACCGACAACAAACGGCGCCACTAGAAACGCCGCCGGCATGACGGTGGCGCCCTCCGGCGACGCGTCTCGTCGGGTCCACGCACTGACGAACGTGAAAGCAGGGGGCGCCACTACAAACACAGCAGGTCGTCGATGGTCTGCTGCCTGGCGCCGCCGCCGCCGCGAGGGCTCGCGTCGCCGCGGCAACTGTGTCGGTCGGCTGACGAATCACGGCTGCTCGCTGCGCTGCTCATGCGGCTCCCCGGTGACCTCTGAAGCTCCTCGGAGGTCAAGGTCGTGCCGAAGAGCGTCTCGCCTGGGTTGAGACGAGACTCTGCCAACCTGCGGGAGCAAGAGGAGAGACGACGCGTGACAACCCGGGAAACGGACTGCCGGAGTAGAGTGGGAGACAAGTTATCGATAATATGACCGAGTGATCAGGTGGTCACGAGAGAATACATTATCGATCACTTCATCGATCGATCGAGCAGTGATCGGTCATCAGAGAATATCTTATTTGATCACGCGATCAAACGTCTAAACAGGAAAAGCTGATAGATTATCAATCACCTATCATCGCACGTAGTCGGAGCTCGCTTGCCTCGTAAAATCTGATTCTATCACCGCGGATCGACATTTACCGAAAGTCACGGTTACGCATTCGAGCCAATCAGCTTATGCGTAATGTACTTCAGCGGTTATTATTACTGTATTAAGTACTATATCGTACGTAATATTACTATTCCATTATGTACTATATATGCATGATACGCAGCGATGCGCATCGTATCAGCCTTAACGATCGCGCGACGGACACTCACTCGGCAAATCCGTCGTCAAACTCTGCAAGCGACGCCCCCTGCTGGCCAGTGTTCTCCTTCTGCTCCTCGTCGAAGTTGACCCACTTGCGGTTGCCGTGGATCTCGGACGTGCTCGAGACTGCGAGACGACAAGAGAGCAGCTCGTTAACGTTGGCTCGGTAGTAGAGAGGGAGTAAGGAGGGGATCCAGGGAAGGAGCCGGTGTGAGATGGGAGGGAGGGGATCCAGGGAAGGAGCCGGTGTGAGGAGACGGGAGAGGGAGACAGGTTGGAGGCAGATAGAATCGCGAAAATGAATCTAGGCACAGGAAGGCAGCGAGGGATCCGGGGAGGGGGGGGAAAGAACTAGAGAGGAAGCCAGGATGCGGTAACGAGGAAGATGGCACGGCGTGCTGCAGCAGAGATGCTCGCAAAGTGAGAGCCAGCAGAGAGAACAGAAGCAAGCAGCGGAGGCGCGCGGCGACGAGCGGGGAGGTACGGAGCGCGCACGCGAGGGTAGGGGGCGCCGGCAGCACTCACCTCGCGACAGCTTCGACGGAGGAGAGTTGCCCGCGCTCGCCGGACTCTCGTGCGTGCCGACGCCGCTCGGCGTCGACATGGGAAGCGAGCGCGCGTTCGTCGAGCCGCCCGTCGCGGTCGCCGGCGGCGCCCCCTGGCGCAGAACGTGGTGCTCGTGCGCGACCTTGAACGCCTGCGCGATCGTGAGGGTGATCGCCTTCGCCTGCGAATAAAAAACAAGAGGGCGCGTCAGCGACAAACTCCAGGCGACCTTCACCGAGGTTGAGCACGAATGATCGCTATTGGCAACCGATACTGTTATAATATATGTTGTCATACGGATCGATTAACAAACTAACGCATATGTCTATATATATGTCACGCTCTATGTCTGTATATAATATGCACTTGTGGCTTTGCCGGTTTTGCAACAACACTGCACTTACGATCTTCTTCTTGCTGCAGAGGAAGGCGTGGCACTCGATGGCGTCGTTCTCCACGCTGCGAGCGTTGAACGCGCACACGCGCTCGTTACTGCTGTCCGTCGAACAGAAGGCGATCCTGCGAGAGGCGAAGAAGACAACTCGTTAGCGTGCTAATCGCGCGACGACTCGTTAACGCAGTTAATCATGCGACGACTCGTTAAGGTTGTTAATCGCGCGACAACGACCTCGCGATTTGATTGCGCACGACGACGACTTGTGAGTGAGCCAATCACACACCGCCTTGTGAGCGAGCCAATCACACACCAACGCCTTGTGAGCGAGCCAATCACGCGACGCCGACGATCCGTGAGTGAGCCAATGTCGCGGAGACGACAACTCAGAAACGAGCCAATCACATGGCGACAGCTCCTTAAAACTTACTAAAACTGATAACGAACATGTGACGATAACGAACGCCAATCAGCTACGCTCAAGTAAGTTGCTATATAGTATTTAAAATACGATATACGCCGACGAGAGCAAATACAATCACTAACGTTCACTGCGTCGAGCAACAAAGGCAACTGAAGATTCACTGGTCGCTGCGCCCCGAAACGTCTGCCTCTAAAGAAGCACAATCCTCCAAACCAGGCCCGCACCTCAGCTCTTGCTGAACGAGGAAGCTGCTATCAGAAAAAGGCGTGCAAACATTGTAGAACAAAAGGCCCTAAAACTGTCCATGAGTGTAGTATGTATCGTATATGCCCGAAAGCTTTGTAAAAGAAACCCTATGCTATGACCGTGTAGGTGCATGGATCACAAACAGCACCCTGGTGTATGGCAGACCTCTTATGTGTTGACGTAGTCGAAACAATATTGCTCTATTATCTAACAAGCTGAAGCACGATATCTCTGTAAATGTTCTGAGTGTAGCCAAAATGTAAAAATTGATGTCACTAACTGTCGCTGCGCACCATGGCACCTGGCCGCTGGCAAAGTGTGCCAAATACTGTCTGTGACTTGTGCTGCTTTGTGTTATTGGTACATGTCGTCTTGTGGTGTGGTGTGTTCGATTCTTTAGCCACTGTTAATCCATCCAGAGGTGGATATCACAGTAGAGAATAAAAATAGGTAATAAATTATGAAATACTTTATGAAAAAAAGCTAATTCGACTTGACCTTTGAGTGGACCTAAAAAAATGGCCTGTCTTTCGAGTTCAGCAATGTTATCAAAAAGGTATCAACAAATGAATGGTCATTACTAACACCCAAATTAGTTGGAAATACACTTATTAATGTTTTTTCTACACCTAGTTTGGTGTAGCAAAATAAGCGCGTTTATGAACATTTAAACACGATGACTGGCTGCGACTTATGCTCTGGATTTGAACTTTCACGTCTCAGTAGGTCAAATATGATTCTCACCTCCAAATTTAAAATAAACAATCATGGTAACTTACGCTTAAACTAATGCTAGAGAATTTCATTCTTTTTCTCATAAAATTGCACAATATGTTGTGGTTATCTGCCTGCGATCTATACCATGACACAAGTGCGAATCTACGCACATCGTGAGCACGGGCTCGTGTGCAATACTCAATCCCCCCAGCCTACAGATTTCTGTGTGCAATACATCTCCAGTAATGTAGAGATGCCAACGCTGCTATAATTAATTTATTAGTCTATTTTTATTAGCATATTTATTATTTTTTATAATTACAGAATAAAAAATAATATTTTGTGATGATATTTCTCAGAGTTGACTTTTTTTGAGTTTCAGTGTTTACATTTTATATAACATGAGTTGATAATATACTACATTATATTAGCAGTCAAAATCAGTGTGAAACTTATTGTCATTTTGGGTCGCAGAATGCAGGAAATTGCAATCTCGGAATCACAAACTTTTCCGGGGGTAGCCTGCCCCTGACCCTCCTATTGGCATACTGGGTCACTGCGTGAACCCTCGGACTATCCAGATTTCACGCCATCCTCACTACAGTTTTGCTCAGAAAAAGTGTTGCAGCTCTGATAATGTAGCGGACAGCTGATGTTGTGGGGAATAAACACTTAACGGTACAGACAGACTAGTACCAGTAGATATTAGACGGCGTAACTACCGTGATTCGTCCTCCCGGCCTTCATCCAATCCTGCATAACAAGGCGCTGCAACATATCGCAGAGCACTACTCGGGTTACTTTAATTTCACAACACTTCGGCCCGACTGTACGAGGTCAACAAGCAGCGCCAAATCTATTGGTCTTGAAATCGTTGCCGGGGTTTGTGAAGTTTTTCCGCATTGGGCCCAGGTCTCCTACTCCTCTTTCGCTCACGTCCCTCTTGCTATTTTTCTTGTATCATTGCCCTCTCAATCTCCCTCTCTCTCTCTCCCTCCGCGCCTCTCGCTATCCGTCTCATCTATCTCTCTCTCCTTCCTCTACCTCCCCCCTCCCTCTCCGTCTCTTTCTCTCTCGCTCTCTCTCCGCTCGATAGCTATCTCCGCCATCATAAGTACCCTCCTTCCCTCGCCTCTATCACTCCTTCCTTCACCTTTCCGTTACCTTTCTACACTAAGTCGCCTCGCCTCCTTCTCCTTCCTCTCTCCCCTTCCTCGTCTCTCTCACTCCTCTCTCTTTCTTTCACAATCCTCACATACATTTCTCAAAACATCTCTCTCTCTCTCTATCTGCTAACAGAACTGCCGGTAGGACCTGGTCAAATAACACGGCCAGCCGGTAATACCGATGGCGTAACAGTTCTACGTGTCCGTCACGTAGCAGCAACATACCGACGCATCAGAGACGGTGTATATAGCAGCGACCAATATAAGTCGGCTGTCCTAAGGTTCAGCATCGTAACCGGTCCGCGAAGTATTGAGCAGCGTTCGTGAAGGTTATAGAGAAAACGCGCTCTCCCGTTGCTAAAGTCAATGGTTGTCGCCGCGGGTCGTCCGCATTCACCCGAGAAAGCTGGCTAGGATACAGGACGCGTGCTAACCACTCGCTCCAGCATCTACCGTGGAGTTGTCGGCAGGTCAAGGAGGAGAGGAGTTGAGAAGGGTAGGAGAGGGAGGGGTGGGAGAGAGGGGAGGAGAGGGGTCAGAGAGGGTAGGAGGAGGGAGGGTAGAGAGGACGGGGCGGGGAGAGTTAGGAGGGATAT